TTTTTTTTCCAGCTGCATAAAATTTAATTCATTTACTATTACACTTGTATCATCGGCAAATAGCACAACTGATGTATGTGATGGGACAGAACACTGTATAAAGGAGGGTAAGTCATTTACATAAATCAAAAACAATAGCGGACCCAAAATCGATCCTTGAGGAACTCCTTTATCAATTTTTCCCCAATTTGATAACTTATTGTTAAATTTTACTCTTTGGTATCTATTTTCTAAATATGACTCAATTAGAGAATACATCACACCGCTTACACCATAATATTTCATTTTAACCAATAATATACCCTAATGACACAAGAATTTATATGGGAAATGATAAACACTAGTAGAAAAATAAATAATTACAATGATGCATTTACAAAACCTCAAAAATATGTTGTACTGAACGAAATTTCTGCCAAAATTTATGAAACACAATGAAGAAAATTATTCCTTTATTGCACGGACATATCCCTGGGACAGAAACCGTAGTAATTATTTTGCATGACATTAAAACATGAATAGTAGTAGCATTTCAAATGGTAGTGCAAATTAATTCTATCTTAAGCAGGTCTCCATACAACTCCCACACTAACGTGATTTGATAAGCTCTCCTTATATGACAAGCTTACCTATACACATACATAGAAAAACAACACACACAACTAAAGATAAAATAATCTAACAAAGTTATAATGATTAACAATCAGCACTTCACGCCTTTCGCAATCTACTTCAAACATACTGCGCACGTCGGCGCGTGTTCCATTATTTCCTAATCAACATGTAACTTCAGGCACGGAGCATGGAAATATTGCATTCAATTCATTGTATATACAACATGTAATTTATGACATGTATCATACAAATCACACATCAACTACTTTCAGCGTAAAATAAAATATAATTCTCTCAGCGAATCAAGTAGTAGTAGTTGCCATTAGATTGGCGGTATCGGTGGTTAGAGAATTGTTAATTGCAGGTACTGAATTTTCAACAGCTCAGTTCTTCTAAACACAGAACTTGTAATCACATTTATTCGATACGAACGTTGTTACAGTCATATATTTACAGTGATTCTCAAAAGTAATCATGATGTCAACAAAACAGAAATTCTAATTGAATCTTAATGTTGGATAACCTGATCTGATCTGTGACTTGAAACTTGACAGTCAGCCCGCCAGAACTGTTCAAACTGTAACTCGTGGGATGAATTAGGCTCTGGTCTTTCCAATCCGTCATAACTGAAACCGTCTTCACCCCTCACCCCTGCACGCAGTGCCGGACATGTATTTACATTATTTTTAAAAAAATATAGAGCTCATACATAGGGCTCAAAATTTGACATCAGACTTCCTGAATACTAAGTTACCTACCCACTCGACTGTGATGTTAAGTGATGTCGTGCCATCTGAGGTCATCTCAAAGGGACAAATCCTTCCCACTAGTAATGGCAACAATAAAGCCCCTCAGATTTCCGAGATAATAACCTTAATATACCTAAATGCCCAGACCAATCTTCCTGAAACTTGATATATACATTATGATATCTGAGGCCATGTCAACTGTGGACTTGATAAATCACTCCCATTGGCAGTACCAACATTGTAGCCTCCCAAATTTTATGGTTTTATTTGCTTCATTACACATACATGCTAAAGTTTTCATTCTGCTCATCGTAACAGATACTCAGATTACAGTGAAAGAAAGCAGGCAATTAGTTCTTCCCAGAACTTACCGTAATTTATTAGAATTCAGCTCTATTCTCTGCTGATCCTTCTGCTCATTCTCTTCTGAATTTCACTTCCTTCTCCCAAACAATATAACTGTATAAGATTTGAGGTTTTCAGGGCGGTGGNTCTCTGCTGATCCTTCTGCTCATTCTCTTCTGAATTTCACTTCCAAAATAAATAAATATCTCTGTTCAAACGTTGCATCATTTAGTATTACTCTCGCATTAGTATTTACATTCCTTGCAATNAAAGAAAGCAGGCAATTAGTTCTTCCCAGAACTTACCGTAATTTATTAGAATTCAGCTCTATTCTCTGCTGATCCTTCTGCTCATTCTCTTCTGAATTTCACTTCCTTCTCCCAAACAATATAACTGTATAAGATTTGAGGTTTTCAGGGCGGTGGCTATGAAGAATGCCGTCTTCTTGGATGTGGCGCCATGTAGATCTTGTGTGAACCGACATTTTGGAGAAACGTATTGCCTCCATCTTTGGGGCAGAAAAATCCTCGAGCGAGGAACCAGCATGATCAGATGGCTACAGCCACTGAAACGTCAGTTCACAAAAGAACTACGTGGTGCCACATCCCACAAGACAACATTCTTCAATATGTCTGTCACTACTATTATTTTATGTTCTATTTTGTTCTCTCCTCAAACTGTCTGGGCCAACTTGTTCAGTGACTTGGGAGGAAATAAACTACAATCTGTTTATTATCTCCTCTAAAAGGCCATCAAAATACCATATATTATTTGTAAGATTTGAGGTTTTCACAGCAGTGACTATGAAGAAAGCAGTCTTCTGGGGTGTGGCGCCATGTAGATATCGTGTTAACAGACATTTCAGAGGAATGTATCGCCTCCATCTTCAGGGTAGAAGAAAGAAACTCAGCAAGGAACCAGCATGAGCAAGTGCTCATATAATATTTGCTTGCCTATTTTTAACAACTACCTTACAGCAGTATTTTTTAAAAAATCTTTTGTGTTGGCATCTGTGCATTTATATATGGGATATGCATCTGCTTATTATATTGCATCTAATTTTGCTCAGAACATTTTTCACATAAGGATTTAAATGATCAGGTTAATGCAGAGGAATGAAACTTTTAACAGTGGATGTATGATAAGATCATATTTAATTTCTGTTGCACATAACACAGAAAACCACAAAGATTACAGCCAAAAATTTATGTCTTGGTTTCAAAGACAAAACAAATCCAAAATAAATATAATTTAAATGAGATGTTTACATACCACTAAAGGTTATACAAAACACAACAAAATTAAAATTAAATATAACATAAACCAGAATGTAGTCTCTCATTTCATAATAAAATATGACACAAAAATCAGCTACAGGTTAGGAAATACAAACTTGAAGAACAGACACTGATACACTGAGATAAAAGAGTCAATGTATAACAGGTTGATGTAAGCCTTGAGAGCTGGCATCACCATTTCTGACAAACGTGTGGAATTTCTCAAGTGTTACATTGTTACAATTTTTTTATCCCTGTAACAAGCCATGAGGATGAGGAGGGTAGGTCATGTAGCACGAATGGGGGAGACAAGGAATGCGTATAGGATATGGGTGGGAAAGCCAGAAGGAAAGAGACCACAGGGAAGACCAAGGAATAGGAGGGTGGACAATATTAGATTGGATCTTAGAGAGATAGGATGGGATGGTATGGATTGATCTGGCTCAGGATTGGGATTGTGAACACGGTGATGAACCTTTGGGTTCCATAAAATGCTGGGAAATTCTTGAGTAGCTGCAGAACTGGCGGCTCCTCAAGGGCTCAGCTCCACGAGTAAGTAAGTAACAGGCCATGAAGGCCCATAGGGTTCCGAGATGTTGAGGTTCCCAATTCTTCTAGACAATCGACTCACAGTTGGTGATACTGTCAGCCTTATACGCCGGCCGCGCTTTACCCTCCAGGAAGATTGCTAGTACTCATTTCTGTTAGAGGCTGAGTTGACCCCAGGGCCACAGTGCAACTGGAAGGATTAGGTAAGTTGGAAAAAAATCCACCTAATCAGGACTTGAACCTGCGACCTTCTGGCTTGTAGCAAAGCGTCTCAACCAACTATACTACTGCGTACCCCCTACATTGTTACAACATGAATGAAAAATCAGTCAATATTTCACCTACTATTATAGTGTGAAAAATATGTTTCTTTGGGTTTAACATCATGCATTTTGAAGAAAGCAAGTCATTTTGGAGGAAAACATCACCTCCATCTTCAGTGCTGAATGGTTAGCCAAGCAAGAAACGAGCAAAAAAGCTAAGCTTGTTGCTGTTACACTTGATTATATTTGTTACCTGTCCTTAGCCCTGTGATCTACTAACCACCCTGCTGGATAAGCACACCAAGATAAATGGTCATGGCTGTAAATGCAAGAGCTCGCTGTGTATGTTTTGTCAGTTACATACCTATTCGGTTCTATCACATTAGCATCACTGAATTATTTATTGCACTGTACTCCTTAACTGGGGATCATCACAAGTAATGGTCAAGGATCCAGGAAAGGTCAACTGGAGGGAGGTAATAGTTTATTGTCCCATTCTACCCACCCTTTCCTGGGCTCAATTTCATACAAATAAATAAATAATGAAATGTACAGAATAGTCCTCAAATGCAAAAGTATAAACATTAAAACTGCAAATTCACATCCTAACTACATTACAAATATGCATAACCAAGTGCTGTATACACCATTTTACTTCAAAATGTACAATGGTTGCTTCATACATATTCAAGACTTCCATGGCAACACATAGTTACACCACATACATATCTTACAAATACATGGTTGAAGAAACATTGTGAAATACATTGTTAACATTTAATTTCACAGCAGAGACATTACTTCCAATTAGTCAATGAAAGGATCTGTTACGTGCACTGTAATGAATAATCACATTAAACTGTTTTCCTTTATTAATCTTTATTCTCAGCACCAAGTAATAAGACATGCTAACATATATAGGAGGAATATGAACACTAAACTTTAAATGGTTAGAGTTTCCAAAGTAACTGGAAAACAAACACCAGTAATGTCATAAAAAACATGGTGTAAGGATTACACCAGAGATTCTCAGCATCTTTAGGCCCCCAGGTTTTGTGACTGAACTTTGTGTACCACCTACTCAAAGTTATAACACATAAATCCATCACCAAGTCATCCATTAATAACATCCTACTCCAACACTTCAGCAGCTCTGAGATTGCAGCAGCCGGAACTGTACATTTAGATATTAAACCAAAATATACAGTTATACTTATTCCAGAATTTTTGGAGAAATGACATTCAAACCCAGGAGCTCTAACTTCATGCACTTCCATTATAAAACAGTTAAATTATGAATTCTGAATCATACACTAAAATTCATCTTTATCAAGTAACAACTACATCCAATACCTTAGCATAGATTTTGTAAATACCAAGCCTGAAGACTGCCATATATACCTAAAATTTGTCTGCTTACCACCATTAATTTTTGTTGCAGACAATCCACATATAAATTTAGGACTTTTCTGTGGCAACAAACTAAAACAGTTCATCACCAAAAATACAGTTTGTGTATAAGTCCACCAAGAGATGCAAGTGTTTCAAAACCTTACACCATATCCACATCAATCAGTGAGCGTGCAATAACCCAATATTATTACAATCTTTTGTCACTGTAAAGGATCTGAAATGAAGCTGAAGATGTATTTCAAGTCAAACTATTAGATAGGGCAGTTTTAAAGATTCCTACTTCCCTATTAATATTCAGTAAGTAAATAATTCATTATACAAAATTATTTAGCAACTTATATTAGGAATATACATTGGGGAGATACCAAGAGTTCAAGAACCATACTGTTATCAACAATGATCTTTTAACTGATCTGTCTACATCAGTGGTTCTCAACCTGTGTCAGACCACGGCTCGGTAAATTCTTTTTTCTATAACACGAGGGGCAGCTACCGGGCCGTGGCTCGGCTGTTAATAAACACTGGTCTACATAACTACAAATATACTTAGCACCCAGTCACCTTCTAAATTATAAATTTGTAAAGCAAATGCTACAGTGCTATCCAGAACAACTAGTCATAACAATTTTACGAACAAAATAAAAGATATAGAGAGAAAACTAAGTTACTTTTGCACAAATAAAGCCGTTTACTTTGAGGACGGACATGGACCTTCACTTCCTGCACCAGGGGAGCCACCACTGGAAGAATGACTTGAGCTTCCAGCTGCATTCTGTCCATCCTGACGAGCTGAAATGGTAAACCATTCAAATTTACATCACTATTTTGCAGAAGTAACCCAATGCCAATTATTTTGGACTCCACTAGTTACAGATAAATTTAGCCAGTTAATACCAAAATAATCTTTTCTTTAGTCAATCAGTTACACTTTTCCAGGGAGATCAACTGAACAGTATTCAGAAATTCAGCCTCTGTTTTCATAACATACAAAATTTCCAACATGAACTGTGATCCAAAGTGTGCTACGATAGCTAAGTCAGCAGAGCAATGGGCCATAGGCTGGACAGCAAGGGTCCAATTTCTGGCAGGAGTCAGAGATTTTTCTCTACTCTACAGCATTTCTGGTTATCTGGTATAGAAGAATCCCAATTCTCATTCAACCATCAAAAATGTCAAAGAAAATTTATGGTTTTTATATAGCTACTTCCCCTGCCATGCAGTAGTTCTCTCACCTACCACTAGCAGCACTGCCTCATGCTGCTGCCATTAGTGATAAGACTTCCTTGATTTCAGTCCACATGCAAACTATACGAACCAAGCAACCACCACTTATCGGCGAATTTTAGTGCTAACTTTAGCGGATAGAGGGTGTCGCGTGGTCAGCGCAACAAATCCCCACAGCGGTTAATTTCGGTTTTCTAGACCGGAGCAGCTATTTCCTCGAAACAGCTCCTCAATTATCATCACAAGGCTGACAGGATCCCATTCCAGACTCATTACTTCTCAGAAAAAGTCTGGTAGAGCCGGGAATCGAACCCAGACCTCTCGATTTGTAGCCAGGAACTCTGACCACTAGACCACAGAGGTGGCCATTACAGTGATAGTGATCCATAATTACAGTACTGGCTAGTTGCATTTGTGATTGTGTTAGTGTATATCTCAAACCTTTCACCCATCATTCCACTGTCAGCTAAGACCCCAATGCAAGAACCAAAGCAGAAATGCACTGTTTAACCTTTTGGGGAGAAACTGGTATTGTAAAAGACTGGAAGTGGTAAAACTGTGGGGAAAATTGGGTTTCAATAAGAGATTTTTACATGCAACCCAGCAGAATCATGAAACCAGAACATCTCATTCTCCATACATTCCAGATAATGGGAAGTTTACTGTACTTAACTGTTACGTAACCCAAATGTTTTTGAGAATCAGCTTATACAAGTAAGACTTACCGGATACATCTGGTTTGGGAGAACCTTTTATTCTGCATGTATTGTATGATCCACAATTAATACATTTCAAGCCTACCACATGGAATTTTACTACAGACTCCTAGAGGGAGGAGGAGAAAAAGGAACATATGAATTATGACAAATTCTCATATGTGTGTGAAAAGAACAAGTAAAATTCAATTTAATGTTTCTATGCATGTAAAAATTAAATATTACACACACATCAAGCACAAGTACACATGGCTTCTACTGTATACTTTCTCACACCCATAAACTGACAACATTCACTAAAACCACACATATTTTTTCTTATGTCAGTTGCAACAAAAACTAACATCACTGTGATAATGTGTGTGGTTGTAAGATCTGTATATACTGACTGTGATCAAATTTCTGATTGCTGTCTATAATTTTATAGACCTAGCTACAGTAAAACTGCTATGCAACTGTCAACAGTGTAACTATACATGAGTCATTCTGTTACAGTAGTTTGTCTGTACAGAGAATGCTTTGTAATTGTACTGTCTTTCTCAATATGGAATACTGTACTCTCACTTGACACATACCCTTCCAAGAATCTATGCTATTCATATAGCAATCAATCAATCAATCAATCAATGGAGCTTGTTCTTTCTACTACTACTGCTAGAATTACGAAATTCATTTCAAGTGAAACTTGATTAATTTGATTTTCAAATGACCTATGTTAAAATTAGTTCACCAGAACAAAATGCCCGTACTCTGTCACATCTAGCAGACTTACTGAAAATATAATAGTGTCTTATTGCCTGTAGAATACCTACTTCATGACAATCCTTGCATAGAATTTCAGCTTTAAAATCTCTGTACTCTGGAGGCATTGGTGTCATCTCAATTTCATTATCCAAATATTTCCACAGCTAGAAAATAAACATAACTTTCAGGCATATATTTCTGCAGTTCAACTGAGTTTAATCTACAAGGGTGGAGACACAACTGTGATCATTGCAGTCACTAATTCTAATGATATTCTGAACTGATATAACATACTGGAGGTGTTGGTACATGTACTACATATGTACGCATGCACACACACACACGAGTGTGCATGCTTAACAGACTTATCTGGAGGATCTCCACTGAAATACCCATGTCACAGAATGAATTACAAATTTTGAGTCTGATTAAAGAAACGACAATATTTCAAAGGACATCAACATTCCCTCTTGACTTCCATTGGACTCTCAGTTAGTTGAAACACATACAGACCTCAATGAGTACTACCTTCTGGAATGTGACTGAGTGTAGTCTGGAAGAAATTCACTAACATTCTGGAGAAATGTACTACATCCATAGCTCTCTGCTCATTTCTCATGCATTGCTTGCTTAGCATATCTTTTGAGTCTGAATACTGATGCACTACATTCCTCCAAAATGTCAGTGAACATCTACCAGACTAAACGGAGTCAAAGCCTAGATAACAGTACTCTTCAATCACGTCCACTGATACACAGACCTCCTTCAGAACACTAACACTAAAAACGTTAACTCCAAAGAGAAGATTTTCAAAGTATTCACAAACTGAAACTTAATTTTTATCATTCATTTCATAATTCAGAAGCCACTGCCAGCATACCTGTGACATATCAATGAGTGATGTTTGACAGGTGGGACATGCATAGTGACCTGCCTGAAACAGTTCTTCAAAACATGTTCTGTGCAGAAGATGGCCACATTCAGGAATATGGCAAGGAATCCGTGACGTGTGAATGTCCTCGAGGCACACAGGACAATTTGAACGAGAGACATTCTCCACACACTGTCGAAACAGAAACAAACCAACTATACTAAATCCAATAGCATATATAATCCTTCCCTCACACATTTGGTTAATTCTACATCATTCAATACAAAGCAAGCAGTAAATGGAGCTGGCTGACATTCAAGTACACCCAAATGGCTGACTACAAAAATGGAAATTCAGATAATTTAATTTCAATTGCTGGATGTCTAGATAGCATTAATATGTAACACTGTAAAGCAGTGGTCAATCCACAATGACACTTGTAAGTCTTACAAAATAATTATCTCAAGCGTTGCTTGATGGAATTAACAGCCTCCGTCATTAGACTAAATTATATATAAAATATATTTGTAACACGTTTTTGCAAGTCAGAAAGCATCTTATCATTCTCTAACACATTAGCTCTGGTACAATAGGCCAGAAGTTGCCGCAGTACAAGAGACTTAGTCTCACCCCAATAGCAATAATAAATAACAACACATTAGCTGCTACACATATATATATCCAGCAATACATTAATTTGTTCCTTCACAAACCAAGATCCCCTATGACTGTCGATGTAGCATTTCACAATGCGAGGCTATCTGCTGCACACTACCAACTACTATCTCTGACTTCCCATCAAATCATCCTAGAGGAATGTTTTTCTTGAGACTGGCAACATTTTAACATCATTATTTTTTCAGCCATTTTCTTCATGGATGGACTAATAGCCTAAATGAAATATTTTGGTAAAGTTTAAACTTGACAGGTACTTTAAACCTAATATTAATTTTTCATGAAGTGATATTCATTCTTTAATAAAGCCAAATATTGGTCAACCACAATTCCAGACATCAGAAACCAAGCTTGTCTTGTTGCCTCTTGTACACCTATATCCCCATGCCTGTAAACAATCCTCATAATCCTTATCCCCTGCTTCTATCCATACCACATCTTATAAGGTTATTTCTGACAAATATTACTCAGGCTGACCCATGCCTCCACACACATCAGATACTGAAATTAAGAATCTCTCATTCAATTAATCCTCATTTACCATACCCACCATCACTAATAATTTATCTCTTCCAAAAAGCTCATTCCCATTCTTTGAACAACATATTACAGCCCTTTTAAAGGAACAACTCCAATATGAATTCAGAATCCAGTTGCACAAGCAATGACAAACATACCAAAATTCAGTACTGAAATCTACATGAAGTATCTCCAAATGCCAACCAGATATTATGGTCCAGTGGACACCAACCCTGCTTCATATTCAGGAGGTTCCTGGTTCAAATCTCAAGTCTGGAGATCAGCTATAATGACCAAGGTTTTTTTGTGAGTTTCCTCTGTCCCTCCAGGCAAATTTCAAGATAAAACCTCAGATTATGGTGCTTACTTCCATATCCTTTCTGGTTCATTATTCATTAACCACCTTCTCATTTGACAGCATACAGTCTGGTACTGCAAATACTGTTTAATAAACCATAAATAAATAATCATCAAATGTCAGTTTTCATGAAGTTCCTTATCAGTCTTTCCTTATTGTACACTCCAATTAAGGCCATATGATCTTGCACATTTTCAAGACTACAATATGTGCTCCCTCCTTTCTCAAGCCACCAATTTCCATATTTTTACTGTACCATGGTTCTTCATGTGTAAAAGCAAGACATTCATGAATGTTTCTCCCCTGTATTTTTATTCTGCACTAATATTATTATGCAAATTAACTGAACTGTCTAAAAGATGAAAGCCATTACCTGCTAACTATATTAAAACTTGAAGTCATCAAAGGAGAACCAATAATGCAATGGATACCACCATTTGCATGCCAAACACAGATCATCTTATAACTTTAAACAGTATACTTACCCGATGCCTGTTCTTTAATTTGATAGGAAGGCACATATTACACGTCTCACAATGGAAGAATTTATCTCGTCCACCAATACGGCATATCCCACAACCATCGCAGTGGTACTGATTTTTTTCTTCGTCATCAAACAGTTTGCACTCCAAGCATGTATACTAACAATAAAGGCACTTCTGTTAAATTCAAAAACTGTTTCACATACATGAAACACACACTTGTGCATGCATTAAGCACTCAGAACTATAACTAGGTAAAGGTAAAGTTGTCCCTGTACCTAACTAAGCACTAAGCCATGAAGGCGTATGGGGGAGTGAATGTATATATCCACATTTTCTTGACCTCAGCACTAACTGGAGGCTCATCTTCATGCCCCTGCCCTTTTACCCTCAGGGAAAAAGCCCCCAGTATCCTTTGGAGAGGAGGTTGGGTGGGCCACAGAGCTGGTCTGGACAACATGAAGAGAAAATTCTTGACCCTACTGGGGACTTGAACTCCAATCCCTTGGTCATCCAGCCCGTAGCCAGTTGCTATACTGACCATGCTATTCTGGCTCCTATTATAACTAGGGCTTAATAAAAACATTCATCTCCATGTCAGGGACGGGTGAAAAAATTCTGCCTCATCAATAAAAATTAGTACATACTGCATGTGTTATGCAAAAATGTTGTACTTTCCAGTGAAATATTTACACATTTGGTGAAATAAATTAACATTTACTGGCATCTGGCTGTAATCCACATAACAGACCTGCCTGCCCATGGTTTCTGTATGGTCACCAGAAACATCTCTTATTAATACTAGACTTTACGAAGCCTCTGGAAATGTAACATTCATTTCAGTTCTGCTACCCACCTTACATCCCCACCCCCCACCCCTAAATTGGGGGTGGATGCTCTGCAGATCCATGTATCATCTTGCATTTCATTAAAACCTGTTCATCCAAGGCGAAGTTGTAAAGATGAACACAATGAAGTTCATATGCACTTGTTCATTAATTGAAAATACATCTAAAGGAAATATCATTGTGGATATCCCTATTTCAACAGCTTTTCTTTTCCTCATATGTGAACCCTGTTCACAATCATTACACAGACAACAAATTTCAGACAAAATGCAGCTTACCTTGCCAAATCGTAAAGAGCAATTCTCACATTCTGCCTGAACTTTCTGCCTGGTGTCACAGTTTGTGCACACAAGTTCAGTCACATCCTTCCTATTTACGCAGTGGCTCTCATTTTCATCATGACAGAAACGGCATGTATATACTTTATTGCAGCAAGGTGTCTGAAAATGAAGATGAACAGGATCAATACTACAAATATTGTTACGATGGTGCAGCTGATAGTAAAATTAACATAACGATCTACAGGCCTAAAACCAAATACGGTATGCTCAGTACTCCTACACCTGACTCTTTGCCCAGTTTCAAAACTCTACCACCAGAAACATTGCTACAGAGCTAGCAAATATGGTGGCCAATGTCAATAAAATATATGTAGAACAATGAGCACTTGTACAATTTGTGTTGAGGAACACAAAAATTCAATCCTTCACTTCTTGTCCAGTTTCAACTCTTATCACCAGGATCACAGCTCTAGTGGTAGCAAATATGGTGGCCAATGTCAATAAAATATATGTAGAACAATGAGCATTTGTACAATTTGTGTGGAGGAACACAAAATTTCAATCCTTCACTTCTTGTCCAGTGTCAACTCTTATCACCAGGATCACGGCTCTAGAGGTAGCAAATATGGTGGCCAATGTCAATAAAATATATGTAGAACAATGAGCACTTGTACAATTTGTGTTGAGGAACACAAAAATTGAACTAAGATCCACATGTAACTGATTAAAGACTGGTCTCTACCCTGAACAATATGAATCCAGTCCACACACTCCATCCCACTGACAATTGCAGCTGAGAAGATGGGCAGCTCCTGTTAAGCAGTTATGCTGAAGTAGTAGTTCTGAATGACAAGCCATAGTATGGACAGCCATGTTTACTAATAATTTGTGAATGTGGAGAATGTGGATTACATCAGTGATAAATGGTGCATCAAAATCCTAGAAATTGTTACAGAAGTTAAAATAAGTTAAAGCACAGTACAAACGACTGTATGGAAGCTGAATATTTCAGAACTTCAGAGTGGGTGCTCTGTAAGTTAATGTCATTATACAAGGAACATGTGGGCTTGAATACTTTTAATTTAAACTGTTTATCCAGTGGATGAACAAACAACTGATGGTGGGCACATCATACAGATGACAGCATATTAGAATGTCTCAACTGCAACATAGAACAATTATAAAGATTCCAAAATTAACATTTAATAAAATACTTTAAGGTTACTCACTAACGCTCAATTGCTTCATAACTGGTCCCATGAAAAATGCTTCTCAAGGGACGATATTATAATGACTAGCATCTTACTCTACAAGCAAACTAAGGGATACATAACAGGAATTTTTACCTGTGATGAAAACAGGGTGTTAAGGAAAATATTAGCATGTTACTGTACAAGCAAACTAAGGAATACATAACACGAATTTTTACCTGTGTTGAGAACAGTGTAAGGAAAATATTTGGACAGAAGAGGGATGAAGTGGCAGGAAGTTGGAGAAAACTGCATAATGAGGAGCTTCATGGGTTGTACTATTCTCCAAGTATAATCAGAATGAGCAATTCAAGGATGATTAGGTGGGCAGGTCATGTAGCATGAATGGGGGAGACGAGGAATGTGTATAGGATATTGGTGGGAAAGCCGGAAGGAAAGAGACCACAGGGACAATCAAGGCATAGGTGCGTGGACAGTATTAGAATGGATCTTAGAGAGATAGGATGGGATAGATTGGATAGATCTGGCTCAGGATAGGGACCAGTGGAGGGCTCCTGTGAACACAGTAATGAACCTTCAGATTCTATAAAATGCTGGGAAATTCTTGAGTAGCTGCAGAATTGGCAGCTCCTCAAGAAAGGCTCAGCTCTGTGAATGTAAAGAAGGGAGTAAATAAGAAAATTAATCAAGACAACTTACCACAGCAAGGGTCTGAATCACATTTTGCAAAATATGACACAAAATTGGTAACTTTGTTCAGCAGAATAATATTTCCTTAACTTTATCTGCAGAACATTTTGGTCTGAAATGCCAACAGAACCTCAAAGTGAAACTGCAGACCTAAGAAACAGGAGCTTTGTATTGTACAAAGATGAGAAACTGTTTCACTAGATCTCAGTAACATCTCAAGAAATTGCCAGTTACTGTGAACTCCTACAACCAAGTGTAAGGTAATGGAAATTAAAACTTTCTTCTCAATCTCATGTATTCCTCCTCCTCCTCACGATATAGGCATTCACATCTCTTCTGACTCCACATACCTATGTACTATTTTTGCTAAAAAATCATCCAAATCAAGGGAGATGAAAAATGTTTGCTCCCAAAATTCAACTTACATGATTAGCATGTGATACGATTAGCTTCCAAATTTGTAACTTTAATAGAAAATAACTGTACAAATGGGCATCCACATAGAAATCTTCCTTCAGAATGATATGTTTCATGGTGAGTCATACAAGGCTTGGGTTTAATTCACACGAGCTTCCATATCTGCTGATGCTGATACTGATACTGTATTGCTACCTAGCTGATACATGTTTACTGCCCACATTCAGGCATCAAACCATATGCATGTTCTTACATAAAATAGTAACGGAGTAAAATATTTTCTGAAAGTTATGTACTGATAACCTACAAAAGCTGGTTATGTGGTTTACATTTACATTTATTTTCACTTCATGCATCCAAACATTCCCCATAGGGCTGGATATAAAACATGTCACACATTACAAATTCATGATGACTACACATCATACGTCCTTGGTCCAACAAAATATATAATTAGGCCTCACACAGACAGCACAAGAACACACATGGGCCATGGAAAGCCCACCTTGCCATTCTACACACACTGGCCAGCCATATCATCAATACAGTTTCATTATAACATATTAAAATTCATTACAAACACAGATGTCATACAAGCAAGTCTCAACAACATATAATACAAGCACACAGACCATTTATTAACTCTTAACTTTAGAACCCCTTGCATGCTCAACAAATTCGTCAATAGAGTAAAATGAGTTACTTTGCAAATAGTTTTTAAAAAACAAACCTAAATTCATTTTTATCATTCTTTAAAACTAAGATATTTGACAACAAAGTGTTAAATAGCTTGACACCTGAACAATACACCCCTCTGATAGGATGATGTATTGTAGGTATATGAAGGTGGTAGTTCAGACTGTAATTGAAACCTGAAATATCATGCATTCATTCATTCATCAGTAATCTGTCAAGACGACAGGTCCACAGTCTCTTCGGAAACAGTTCCTCCACTTAATGTGATCTAGAGCTTTCTCCTTCAAATGAGAATATCCTCTTCTGTCCCCAAGGTCATCCAACATCTTCTTACGTCTTCTTCCTCGTCTTCTGGTCACTTCTATCCGCCCCTCTATCTTTCCTTCAATAACTTCTTTTCTCAGTTTCTGCGTAAAACATGACCAATCCAATTAGCCTTCCGTTTTCTTATTTCATGTAGGATATTCCTCTGCTCACTGACTCTAAATAACACTTCATTTCTCACATAATTGGTCCAACTGATCTCCATCCTTTTCCAACACCACATTTCGAAGCTTTCCAGGTGTTTCTGATCTACTGCCCTAAGTGTCCAAGTTTCAGCCCCATACAAAGCCATGCTCCAAATGTAGCATTTCACTACTTTCTTTCTCAAACTTAAGTCCAATTTGCTGGTAAAAAGATTCTTCTTCTTGCTAAATGCAGCTTTTGCCATGGCAATCCTAGATTTAATTTCACAAGTACACCTTCCATCATCTGTTAACAAGCTACCCAAATATTTAAAACATTTCACATTCTCCAGTTGTTTTTGGTCTATCTTTATTGTGACTTGGGTTGGTTGTCTCGAAATTTTCATTACTTTTGTTTTCTCCACATTCATTTCCATGCCATAGCACCTTCCAATTTCAATTAGTCTATCAATCATGCCCTGTAGCACAGTTTCTTCCTTAGCCATTAACACAAGGTCATCTGCATATTTCACAGTTTGAATAATTTGCCCTCCTACTTTGAAGTCACCGAGCCCATCCAGAGCTTCCTTGGTAAGGCATTCGCTGTACAAGTTGAACAGAATTGGTGATAAACAGCATCCTTGTCGAACTCCTCTTCCAATCTGCACACTTCCTGTCTCCCCCCTGTCCAGTCGTACTCTAACTTTCTGATCCATGTACAATTTGCTAATCAATCTTCTTTCACGCCAATCGATACCTGTTTCTTTTAGGATCTGCATTAATTTGGTCCAGTTTACCCGGTCAAATGCCTTCTGCCAGTCTATGAAGCAAACACACAGTTCTTCATCTATCTCCAAAGTTCGTTCCGCTATAATTCTCATCATCCCAATTGCATCCCTGGTTCCTTTTCCTCTTCTAAATCCAAACTGATCTTCTCCAAGTACATCCTCTATTTTCCTTTCAATTCTTCTTTTAAGTATCTTTGCTATTATCTTTGCTGTATGTGCAATAAGACTTATTGTGCGATGGTCGCTGCATTTTGTAGCTTTTGTCTTTTTCTTTAAGGCAATCATTGTAACTTCTGTAAAGTCCTTGGGCCACTCTCCACTTTCATATATGGTGTTCATTAGTTTTGTCAGTGTTTTCAAACCACCTTCTCCCAGTAACTTGAGCACATCTCCAGGTACATCATCATCTCCTGTAGCCTTTCCCTTCCTCATTTCCTTGATAGCTTTTTCCACCTCACTTTGTAAAATATATGGTCCTTTCTCGTCTGTATCTACTTCTTCTTCCGGTTCAACTTCTAAGGTTTCTGGCCGATTAGGTCGATCATATAGTTCTGAAATATAATTTTCCCAAATTTTCAGCACTTGCCTCTGATCTACTATTCTATTCCCCTGGGAGTCTTCGATGCCAACATTTTGAATCCCATGATTCTCTTTCCATCCTAGTTCTTTTGTCTTCATGTACATCAAATCATAACGGCCTGTTCTTTGAAATTCCATAATCTCATTACATATCTTCTCAAGATATTCCTTTTTGGCCCTGTCCGTGGCTCTTTTCAATTCATTCCTCAGTCTCCTGTATTTCCTCCTGCCTTCTTCATTGTTGACATTCTTCCATTTCCTTCGCTCCTCCATTTTACTCATCATCTCCTGTGTAACCCATGGTTTTCTTGCTATCTTCTCAACTTTACCAACCAATTCACTAATAGTATCTAACATGCATTCTTTTATATTGTTCCACTGCACTTCAGCATTTCTGCTTTCACTTTCAATTGCACTGAGTTTCTCTTCTAGGGTCTCCTGTACGTTTTGTCTTTGAGCATATAACTTCTCCAAATTCCATCTAGGCCTGTGCTTTTGGAATCTTATAATTTTCTTCAACCTGGTTCGAAACTTGGCAACCAGTAAGTTGTGGTCAGAATCAATATCTGCCCCAGGCAGCGTCTTCACATCCTTCATACTGTTTCTGAATCAATGTTTCACAAGGATGTAGTCCAGCCGATGCTGCCTCCAATCCCCAGGTTCCTTCAACGTGTAAAGCCTTCTCTTTGGCTTCTTGAACCAAGTGTTGGTAACAATCAGTCCATTTCTTTCACAAAAGTCAATAAGCACTTGACCCCTGTGATTCCGTCTTCCTAGTCTATGTAATCCAACAATATTCTGATATGATTCATCTCCAACAGTGCTATTCCAGTCTCCTAATATGATGCTGTTTGTGTCACCTCTTCCATCTTCCTGAAAAATTTCTTCAATTGTGTCATACACTTTTTCCACTTCATCATTTTCATACTCTGATGTTGGCATGTACACTTGCATAATCAGTATATCTACCGGTTCCGCCTTTCACTTCAGAGCAATAATTGTCATTACAAACAATCTTCTTAACAACACTCCTCACTACACTCTTATGCACCACTAATGCCACACCGCTTTCAGCCCGTTCACCTCCAGAATAATACACTGTATAATCACCACTTCTTATTTCACCTTGTCCTTTCCACCGCACTTTGCTGACCCCTAAAACAGACACCTCATTCTTCCGCATTTCCGTTTTCAAATTCTCCAATTTGCCTGCTTGATTCAAGGCCCTTACATTCCATGTACCAATCTTGTAGCCATGATGTTCCTTCTGATCTTCGCTCTTTTTCTTGTTGTAATGCCTGCATGAAATTTCCTCTAAAAACACTTCCCCCCCGGAGATCCGAATGGGGGAATAGTTTACCTCCGGAATGCCAAAAATTCTATTAATTAGCATTCATAAAAATGCTGGTAAAATGTACTCCTCCAAGCCTCCATATAAATCTGCGGCTGCCAGAGATATTTTGCAATTTTTTATTACTCTGAATTAAAACCAGCCAATAATTACACACATTCATAGAATTAAGTCACAGCGACATTACAACAATTCAAAGAACTGTTCTACTGATTTATTCTGACACCCAGTGTAAGGGTGAAATGACACTGTGATCATTTGGCTACTAAATATGTATAAAACTAGCACTATAGTGTGCTGCATAATAACCAACCGTTCACTTAGCCTGCACATGAAAATAAAAAAAGCTTCACAGAAGGCATGAATTGAAATGCTACAAACTGACTGAATGATACACTCAAAAACTGCAAATAAATCTGCATTCACATCTTTCAAGTGTTCTACCCTTTTGTTTTGGAAAGCAGTGGGGATTACCTTGGGCATGCATATAGTTTTCTATAGCCAAGGAACTTTGTAAAGTAGAAACATCTCATAAGAACATATTTGTGGGTCAGGATAATGAAATAGTTTATAAAATATTCCAGTAACCTTCAACTTAACAAAAAAAGAAGACAAGAGCCTATGCACACTATAATTTTGCATGAATTTACAAAAGGCCGTACACACAACATTAATCAGTGAAATAACCATGTTTATAAAATTTCAACCATTCCAAAGCATACTGAAAGTGCACACAATATTCAGCAAGCTCTCAGTGTACATATTACTTGACATCAAGGTTACAAAAACATTACACTGTAGCACATATTACAAAGGCATGCAAGCTACATAAAAGGTGTCCGTAAGTATTACTACAACGTTTTATTTTACAAATACAAAATTGCCAAACGCAATTTCCTCTCCACATATATATACACATTTGGCTATGTGCCAAACGTGGAGGAAAACCAGGGAGTTCATAACCCCTTGGTTATGGTTCTGTAATGTTCAGTATTTGTTTTATTTTACTTCAGGCACAGAGTACCACGCATAACTTGCAGCATTGGTTAAAAAAACATTTCCACATCCCACTGACGCAAATCTGACTGAAGTCCAGTTACTTTTCCGATAATTATAGTAGAATAAAATAAGATATTATACAACCTTTGGCGCTGAAATGCTTATTCGATGATTTAGAATATGATGGAACTCAATTTACTTACGACAAATTTCGATTTCCTTTTGTAGTGTTCGCAACCAACAACACCTTCCATTTTGTGGGCCATCATTCACCTACGAATCAACTGCGCTTGTGCAAGTGGACTGGCTGGCTAGTCATTAGCGTCATTAGTCATGAGCGTCATTAGGTCGCATTGGATGACGTTGCACCTCCGAGTGAAATTAGTAGCATGTACGGACAAACGTTACTTTACAATTTTATTTCGCAAAACAGCATGAATCCAAATACATCAACATAAATTTTACTTCAAATTTTAAGTTCCCTATCCGATCACTTTAAATATGACTAAGGGCCCAAAATGTGAAAAAGCGGTCATTGTTGACGGCATAAAATTTGTTGCATTTAAACTGACTGTGTGTCAGTGATCTGCTAATTGTAGTCAAGAGTCTTGAGCGTTGTGAGTGTATAAGCAGTCATTAAATTTATTCACCAATTCAAACCCCGTCTATAGTCACCCATACACGTGACAATATTATAGCAGAGCAGTGGTATCATCGAGTCTGAGAGTACAGTGCTTTACTACCCCTGATACATAGTGATCCGTGCCTCCAGTGTTCTTGTTCTTAAATGTTCGGTAAAAGTGATCGTAGTTTTCACTAATAGACCTAGGTAGAACGCTGTGGACCTGTGGAACGTGTGACGCCTAAAGTCAGAATTGGCCGGTATTGTAGGCCTTGTAGGCTGTAGTCTGTGAAGGAACATCAAACTCTCGTTCCGTAGATCCTGTTTTGAGAAAACACAGGAGTAGGGAATTTTTCCTGGACAAGGACAAAGAGAAACATGGTTTACTGTTACGTGAATGCTCTATTTGTATCGTTTATTGTCCTGTCCTCGCTACATGGCGTTAAAAGTAAGTAAGAAACTGAAAACAATCGTAGTAACATAAGTAACGAAACATTCACGACTTCGATGTTGCAGTTGTCTTATCAGAAAAGGGTGGGGCGTTATGCCAATGGTGACATTGTAAAGGTCTAATGGGGCGGATAAATCGTAAGGTGTAGAAATTTTGGGTTATTCTATATTTCTTGGTCACCTTTCTTCCCTGCCCCAGTAAATGTTTTTACACATTTCCGGTTTGTGGGACAGCTTTAATAGTCCTTAGGTACTTAACCAGAATTTTGGTGTACTTTACTACAAGTACTATAATTCTTTCAGAACCAGCAATAACCTGCTATCGAATGTGGGCAAATGGTTATTGGATCTGTGAGCCCTACAGCTAATCAGATATATCAAATCTCCATACTTTGAAGATATTAATTTTGAATGATGATAATAGCCTTGACTTTTTTATTTCTCTCAGTTTTGGGCCAGTTAATGGTGGCAATAAGAAATTGTTTTTATAATATAGTGCAGTCATTTTAGAGCCTCCTGCAAATCGTTGAGGCACCTGTCTTTTAACACATTGCAAATAAAACTTAACCAGATTACAGTACATGCTGGAAATGCTCTTACATTTACATTAATATTTGGGGGAGGGGGGGCATTTGCAGTGAGTAACATTGAACACTGTTCTCTTGTGCAAGGATTCTCAAACTTGTGATGATTTAATCAAGTTTCTCTTCAGTGAGCACCCATGTTTGGAAGACGGTGGTAGTAGTAAAACCATTTTGCTGCATCACAGATATTTTTGTATTTAAAAATATTTCCAGTAAAAGGGTTTATATGTACAGGAATTTTCAGTTTTAGTTCCATACATGATGCACAAGTTAAATATTTGTTTCAGGCATGAAGTGTGATTTTGACCATGAGCCGTCACTGCTGGACAAGATTAATATTGTGGACATAAAGACTTGCCCTACTTTGTTTGACAATCCAGACAACAAATATTGCTGTGTGGATAATGGTCGAGTTTACTGCTGTAGCAGTGCACAGTTTATTTCCACTAGGTAAGCTGATATTCATAATGACACTTTGTTCAGGTTATGGGTAAAGTTGCCCCCATGCACAAGAAATCACATACTTAATATGGAAGTTGACTGGAGGCAAAGTTATAGATATTTTAACTTTTGCACGGTTTGCCAGCAAGTAGTAAGCTTCACAGTCCAGTTGTTCTTACTCCACGACATGAAATTTTACAGTGCACACTGTAGCTTCCCAAAAATTTTGGGCCATTTATGTAGAAGTGTCAGTTGCTCCTTCCATCTAATAAGACAGTGGAGATAATACTGCTTGCTTAATCATCCAACCTATTGTCTTGTAACACATTCCAAATAAGACTTACTCAGATTATAGCAGATGCTGTCTGTTATGGGGGCACATGGTAGCATAATTGGTTGAGGCACTATGCTACAAGCTGGAAGGTCATGAGTTCAAGTCCCGATGAGGTCATTCAATTTTTTTCAATTGACCTAATCCTTCCAGCCTGACTGTGGCCCTAGGGTTGACTCAGCTTCTAACAGAAATTAGTACCAGGAATATTCTTGGGGATAAAGGGCGGCCGGCGTATATGAGCTGATTGTCTAGAAAATGTGGGAGCCTCTACGTCTGACAACCCTATGGGCCTCCACGGTCTGTTACAGGGATACCTCTACTTTTTTTATTTACTTTACTCTCTGTTGTTATGCCTGTATTCTGGCACATGTTTCAGTTTTGTTTAGAAAAACATCAGTGTCCTGTGCAAATTATCTTCTGGAGAGAGATTTAAATAGGGGGAGGGTGCCAGTCCTGAACATTTCTAGACAATTTCCAGCATTCACTGTCATCAGAGTAACTTATTATGTGTTTGGTAGTAGGTTTGTTGATCATGCTAAAAGTCCAAATTTGTGTGGCCAGACTAAGTGGTAGATATTACAGTAAGTGTCTGTAGATTGAAACCAAGGATTCTTGTGTATATTCTATGATGAATGGCTCACAAATCACAATTATCATAAATTAATATTTTTACAGTCTAGATCATATGAATTACTTGTTTAATATATGTTTAATTTATGAAAAATGATATAATTTTACACACTGGATTTTGATTGTTGTTTATTTCTCTCAGTATTTCAGGTCTCTTGCCTATATTGATCGCAGTTGCTGTCGGGTTTTTGGTTGCTTGCTGCTTGTGTTGCTTTTGTTGCCCTTGCTGTCTGCTATACAAAAGGCGGCACCGTGGAACTGTTTACGGCAGTACGTAATAGTAATGGCAAAACAAGTTGCACATTTTGGGGAGGGTTGTAGAGACATGGGCCTTTTCCCTTCTTACCAAAAGTAGTAACTGCTGAAATAAAACTTTGTATTAAACAATAAATATAAAAGCTTTTTAGTGACCAATATTTATATAGTGCATTGGCCTACATAAATATTAGAAAATCAAGTTTCCTTTAGGGCTAACATTGTCTGTGGCAAACCACAATTTTTGCTGCATCAGACGTTCCTCCATATGAACCAGTAATAGCTGTCAGTTTTTAATAATTTTATACATTATAACAGACACATAGATCTGTCATTTCTTGTCCCTGTATCTTTTAATTGAAGCATTTACACTGTATGTTATTTATCAGCCAACCTTGAAATGTTACCATCTGAAATGCTTGTGGTCACTGTGACATGCATTTGACTTGAGCAGCAAGTAATTACATTTACAGTCAACTCTCTATCCGGGGGCGGATTAACTGGTTTGCAGCTTAACCGGGGCTACTGAGGCTTTTATGTTGTTTAATATTCATTCACTTTTGTTTCACATGGCGAGTTGTAACACTATTTTTGCACTAGTGTGAACCAAGCTCTGCATTCTTTGGTCCCGTTATGCTAACACAATGTTCTAGGGTAGGGGTGAAAGAATGCAAGGATTTGTGGAAAGTTTCAAGGACAGATACATCGCCCC